AGAGGGTGGAAGGACGCTAACCCTTGGGGGCTCTTCCAGCCTCGGCCCTCGCGTGCCCAAAGGCCCCACACCTACCTGTGGGAGTCAGTCCTGCCAAGGGGAGAGCACAGCCTGGCCCCGCAGACGGATGTGTTTCCACACAGCACCCTGCGGATCCTGGGTGCCAGCCCACTTCTGACACAACAGGCCTGGGGGCATCTTCTGAGCCGAGATGGCACCCCTCCCGTGTCACACACTAGCTGGAACTCCAGCTGTCCTTTCTAGAAAGCCACACAGACACATTTTACATACTAGAGTGTGCACTTATGACTCAGGAGCAGCAGCGGGAAGAGACGAGGAGGGCAAGGTGTGTGGGAGGGGGGTGGAGCTCCCATGCCCTCCAGGTGCCGCCAGGTCTCCAGGTGTTCTCCATCCCAGAAGCTCTCGGAACCTTGTCCGTTAAGGGGGTTATAGAGGCTCCCGACACAGGAGTGACTGATTTAAACCTTGGCCCTCAGCAGCTGATTTCCCCTCCCTGACAGTGGGAGAGGGGGTAGGGATGGGACTGAAAGTCCTAACCTCTAACCTGTGACTGATTCCTCTTAGGTGATTCCAGCTCCTTTAGAGGGCATTTCAAAGGTCCCCTCATCAACATAACAAAAGACACCTTAATTGATCTCAAGGCTTAGTAAATTCCAAGAGTTCCAAGAGCCCTGTGCCTGGAATGGTGACAGAAAACCAGATACATATTTCCTGTTATACATCACAGTATAACTTTGTGCTACACAAGTTCATTTGTAGTTTCACGGAGTGCACTTGCCCTCGCAAGTGCCTGTGAGTGGTTCTTGCCCTGTCAGCTTCTGGAGGACAAGGCACTGATCAGTCACACTCCTGGCCTCATGAAAGGTACTGCTTACCACCCCTTCCAGGGCCATAGTAGGGTTGATTTCTCCAGCTCACTTTGATGTTGGGTTACATGGTAAACATGTGATCGGAAATAGGAACTCACATGTGTGTATCAGGATGGGGCTTCTATCGGTCGGTCCTGTGTCCCAAGTAGCTAGGAGACTCCTTGCTAATTTGTGCTCAATACATGACATGATGAAAATTAAACCTTTGTTAAGATGCTGAGACTTGGGAGTTGTTTCTTCTACAGAATAACCTTGGTTCTCTAAGTGGGAATCTTTGACCAACAGCAACTAAGAGGTTATTCAAAAGGTGAAATCTCAGTTCCTGCTCCAGGCCCACCAGATAAGTATGGAAATTGTTACTTCAAAGTAGCTGAATCAAAACCAAAAATGGATGCTCAGAGTGCATGGAGGACAGTACCTGTAATGTGGAAGAAGAGAGCTTGGCTGATGAATAATCTACTACAGTTGGCTGCATTTGATGAGATCCTCCAAGGAGATGAGCTATGGCGACAGTGACCTGAATACCAGCAGGAGTGAAAGGGACTCAAGATGGGAGCACAACAATATGATTGCACCTAACATCCCATAACTGCCGACCTAAAAATAGTTAAGATGGTAGGTTTTATGTCATGTGTATTTTACCACAAGTGTATAAATAAACAAATATGACTCATCAATGATGCATCTAAAACCATCTTTAAAAAAATTTTTTTCAGGAGAATCCAGAGTCAGGGGCTTGAGAAAGGGGAGATAAAGCTCTCTGGACTCAATAAGTAAAAGTAAGCAAGTTGAATAAGTAGTTCAGTTAAATCTCAGATGTGGCACAGGATTAAATCAAGGGGATGGCTTTCACTACCATCACAAATCCTCTGAGTAGTTCCAAGGAAGCTGTCAGTGTAAAGTCCTCAGAGTTTGTCAGAAAGATCCAGTAAGTCTTTCAGCTGGGCAAAATGGTTCAGGAAAAAGAAATTAAAAGCATGACTCCCTCTGAGTCGGAGAGACTCAAGCATACATATTTAAGATGAGAGCAAGAACAAGTCTTGGGAGCAGAAAGGAGAGATGTACAGCAAGCCTGGGAAGTAAACAGGCCAAGGTGGGTCCTGAACAACAGGGTTGCACTGGCCACAGGCTGCCGCTGAGCCCTGGGTGGGTGAGGCCGAGTCTCCTACTCGCTGCTCCTGGAAGGGGGTCATGTCTGTGTGGCCCCTCTGCCATCATCATTACATTGGGAAAAATATCGGATAAGGTGGCCTTTCAGTTTGTTGGTCTCCAGATCAAGAGGAGCCACATCTGAGCCTGATGTAGAGACTACCTACTGGAAATTCCAGGGAGATTCCCTCCCTGGAAATCTCAACACACACCTGCCACCCACCTGTGAGAACTCAGCCACAGCCCTCGTTCCACAGCGCACACAATCCGTGCCTCCTGAATTCACATTTAGTTGTAGGTAGCACCTTGGGCTTTGCACACTGCTTCCTCACGTCTTGAGATAATTCATGTCCCCCAGACTGTAATGGCAGAGATCCCTGAATGGCACTTTCTCTACCCCCCTACTGAGAACAGATAATAACACCAAAATACGTCCTGAAAGACAGAATTCTGGACAGCATATAATGTCACGTGTACAATTTTATTACCAGGAGTTAAATCATTTTGAACTGATAAATGACCATCCTATAGGTGATAAATACCGTCAAGAAAATACCATCACACCTCATCAGTGAACGTCACTCCTCATTTTGCAGCAGCTGCTGACAAATAGAAGACCCAAAACCCTCTGATTATCAGAAGTCAGAATGGCCAGTTAAAACAGGTGGTCTGTTTTATTAACCTTTTTTTGAACACATGTTTTTACATCAAATAAAGTTGCTACAAAGGCAGAAATAGTTAATATACAATAGCGTACAACAGTTCTGTGGATTTTTTTTGGTCTGGGGGCTGTGGGCTGGGATTCCAGGCTCATTTACAGATATTTACTGAGTCTCTGCATTCCGGTTACTTCTTCCAAGTGAAGACTCATCAGAACACTCGGCTATTTCTGCACTACTTATACAGAGATTACAAGATCTTTGAGCATTTCCTCAAGGACCTTTGTAGAGAAGATCAGACCTTGTCTGCAGCCAGTATCCACCCAGAGCAGCGAATCAGCCTGATGAGGCTGAGTCCCCAGAAGAGCCACAGGGCAAACCACGAGGGCTGAAGTGTGATCTGCCTATGGGATCGCGGCCCTGATGACCTCAGTTAGCACTCCAGGAGTGCTGGCGGGCAGCAGGCTAAGTACACATTTGGTTAGCAACAACGACAAACAACAGCCGAGCACCAGAAACTGCTGTGGTAACAGGGCCCCGAGGCGAGTTGGGCAGCGAGAAGCACATGTTCCTGGAGCCAGGGATCCTGACACGACCCACATAACTCGGACTGGTGGTTCCCAGCACAGTCATGTGGAACTCACTCCTGCCCATGGGTACACATGGGAATGTGAGCTAAAAGGACAGGATGCATTTGAAGGGTTAGTTGCCTCCTCAAACCTCAACTGTCAATAACCTGCTAATTTGCCCTTTCCAGAAGATTCGTATGTTTTATGCACTTTCCTGCTTGAGCCAGCACCGTTTTTCTCTGGACTCTGAGCTGCTGAGTGGGGGTCATGTCTATAGGTTTTGCTTGTGCCTGGCGCCCAGGGAGGTCTTCTGGTCAATAGACCCTCACACTCACCATCTAGTGACCCTAGTGGGCCACTGCTTATTTACATATATTCCTTCACTGGGGGCAGTCTAGACATGAATATTCACAACAAAAGAGAAGCTATTAACATCAAAGACAAGAGAATGGAATTCAGAGCCATAAGAACCAAGCCCTTCAGATGAGAGCCCTGGGACACAGAGGTTAGAGCCATGCCCAAGGCCCATACCTGCTCCATGGCCAGGCAGGCCTCCTGGCTTCCACGCCACTGCTTTGACAGCCCTCTGCATCCTCTCCTAGCACCACCCATCTGCAACCTTCCTTTAAAATAAATAGACAATCTCTAGGGTGCTTTCCAAGTTTTAAGTGTTCTCACGCTTTCTCATGCTTGTCCTGTGGGGTCAGCACAGATGCAACCTGAAATGAGATGATTAAGGAAACACTGCCCATTAGGGGCAGAGTTAGGACTGAACTCTACTTTCCCAGTCCATTCTGCACTGGAAAAGATTTGACTTAGGGGGCTGGGTACCTTGACTTCTGGAGTCAGACTGCAAACTGCAGACTGTACAGTAACAGGGCTTCAGACTCCAAGACAGACCCCGTCAGAGAAGGTCAAAGATAGCTTGCCTGCAGGTTGTGTTCATGGCAGGTACCTGGGGGCCCCCCATGCCCCCAAAACACTCACTTGGAAACTCTGGACCGAGTCAGAATAAGACGGTAAGAAAGAGTCACAAAGATGTTCATGCCATGTAAGGGAAAGTTTGTGGCAAGAGGTTTTCTGTCCAGACAGAAATGTTTTGCATTAGTGCAAAAACATGACTGACAGAAATATAATTAAAGAAATGTCATCCCTGTACAATCATGGACACAAGCCATGAAACCAGGAGTTCAGGAAAGGAGAACTGTGGAAAATTCCCATAGCAAATAGACAGGAGATTTCAAATGGAAAGAATCTAATCGCTCTACTCTGCCCCGAAAAGCATGCCAAACTCCCAGGGGCATCATAGAAAGTTAGGGAACTGCTTCTGGGGCAGAAAGTGATCACACACCGTGGTGTGTTCACAGCTTTTCTCCCAGGTCCAGCCACGCTCATCATGCTTAGACTTGCTCACTGAGTGTCACCTCCCCTGAGCACACACTCAGAAGATGGAGGGTGCCGGGGACCCCAGAAGTGGGTGGGAGCGGGAGAAAGTGCAGGAGGAAAGCAGGCAGTAAGAAACTGTCACGGGTATTCTCAAGGCAGAGAAGTGGCACGTGCACCTTTGACCCAACGACTGCCAGTCGGGGAAAAGCTGCCTCTTAGACACAGATTCGAGGTGGAGAAAAGATGAAGGGAATGCATGGCATAATTTCCAGTTCTGACTCTTCCTAATCCACCTTGTCGTAAGAGCGATGAAGGTGAGAAGAGCTGCAGAAAGAAGGACTTTTAGTTTAGTACCTGCTCGGGAACCTACAGGGGGTTCTGAAGCCCTGAAAACAAACAATCTCCTTAAAGGTCTTCCGCATCTCTTGGCTGCGGAAGGCGTATATCAGAGGGTCAATCACAGAGTTGCACATGATGAGGATGAGGTACATGTTGAAGTAAGACATGAAGCAAGAGCAGTAGAGGTTCTGAGGACACGAAATCATCAGGATGAGGTGGAGGAAGAAGGGGGCCCAGCACACGATGAAGACGCCCAGCAGCATGGCCAGGGTGACGGCCCCCTTCACGCCAGTCCTCTGCCGCACGGAGCTGTGCCCGGGCAGGGCGGCGATGCGCCGGACATGGGTTCGAGCCAGGAGGAACATGTGGGTGTACAGAGACGCCATGAGGAGCAGCATGGTGAGGAACATGGCAATGAGGCAGACAACCACGTACGTGGACTCGTAGTACACGATGAAGACCGTGCCGCAGCTGGTGCAGAAGGCCCAGATGCCAGCGATGATGGCCCCCGAGCGCCGCCCCGTCATGATGCGCTGGTAGCGAAGGGCGTAGAAGATGGTGACATAGCGGTCCACAGCAATCGCCAGCAGGCTGCACATGGAGGCCACCACGGAGATGCAGATCATGGAGTCGAACACGTTGTCCAGGTGCCGCACAGAGGCATCGGCCATCACCAGATGCTTGTTGGTGAGCAGGTAGATGGTGATGGTCTCCCAGGAATTGGACAAGCTCACCAACATGTCAGCCACCGCCAAACTGCCCACGAAGAAGTACATGGGGGTGTGCAGGTTCCGGTTCCTCACAATGGCCCCAATGACCAGGATGTTCTCCAGCAGGCTGATGAGGCCCAGGGCCAGGAACACCTCCACCGCGATGCCCATGTCCTCACATGGTGAGGATGCATTCCGGACACTCAGTCCCGAGAGGTTGCCTTCCGTGGCGTTCAGCCCAAGATCCAAGAAGTGCAGGTGGAATGAGGAGTTCATCGCTCCTCTTCTGAGCAGCAGATCACTGTAAAACAGGTTTTAATTCATGATCCAGAGGGGTTAGCAGTCTATAGAAGTACATGCGTGTGGAGAGCAACCACACTTGAGCAACGTGCCCTGTGTGCCTGGGTCCTGGATCCCGGAATAGAGTCCCTCTGATGTGAAAGCCCCTCTGCCCTTCTCCCCTCCTTCCACAGACCTCCAAGCAGAGTCATCAGACACCTCAGCATGCACAAGACACTTTCAGTCTTATTCTTGTCATCTTGGTGTCCATGCTTACTCTCAAAATTGCCCCAGCTCACAACCTGCAGAACCTCTCCAGTCTCCTGGTTCCAGACACATGGTGACTGCCCCACTTTTCCTGAGTGGACTCTGAGTCCCGAAGGACCTGCAGGTCTCAAGAGAGGCAGATAGGTACCTCCTGTTCATCCTGAAGCCCCGAGGATTCATCCCTACAGTTGTCACTAAGATTGTAACCAAGGTGATCGACTAACTTGAGCATAATCACAAATAAAAGTTACCGCCTTCAATACATAAGTTTAGGTTTCACATACACACTAAAATTGAAGCCCTCAATTAAAACTTCCCTAAATTCTGTGTTTGAAATTCCATGGGGTCAGATTAACAGACAGTTGTAAAAGTTTCACAGAAATGAAGTACAAACAAATGAGGCATTTAGATTTACCAAGAACTAGAGCAAGATACTTTCCTCCTCTGTTGCCTAATTCCTCTCCCGTGATTTATGTTCAAAACTCTCTTTGCCCTCAAACTCAGAGCATATCTAAGGAGAGGGTCACAATTTCTGTCATCACCTCCATCGTCAAGAGTCACTGTGTATTATTTGTCTAGTTCGGTTTCAGGGATAACGGCCACCACACTGACGTCCCCAGCCAGCTGTTTTCCACATGCAGGTCAGGCACAGTTTGCATCCATTCAAGCCAACTTGAAGCGAATAGAAAGTGTGGCTATTTACCCGTCTCCCTTGTCGCCCTGGCGCGGCTCCTCTTGCACAGCAGCCGTCAGGCTGCACTCGGGACGGGAGCTTGGCCTGGGCACCGGGGGGAAGGGCCATCCCCGCAGGATGAGGACTGGGTGGCAGAGGCGCTGCAGCCTCCCTGCGGCTCGTCCTTTATGCAGCTTCGCAGGACCGCCTCCTGCCCGCCGCCACCCCTCCTGTCCCCGCTCTCCAGTCACGGCCTGAGGTACCACCTAGTGGTCAGAGCAGGGCCCTTCCTCTCCCGGCCGACACCTGCACCTTCTGTTTGTGGAAAATCCTTCCCCCAAAGTGTGTTCAAATGCATTCTCCAGCAGGTTGTTCTTTCTGACTCTGCTTGTCTCTTCCTCTTTGAACTATGGAAATACTATGGGATCCTGTGACAGCCCAGGACACCAGTCACTGGTCCCCTGATGGCTGTTCTCTGGAACTGACCATGGCGACCCTCAGCTGTGAGCCTGATCCACCCCTTGTGGGACCAAAATTAGTCCTTTGGCAAGGACTCTGCCAGGTCAGGTCCAAGACAACAAATGTAATTTTGTTGTTGCTTAGTCACCAAGTTGTGTCTGACTCTTCACAACCCCATGGACTGTAGCACACCAGGCTTCCCTGTTCCTCACCATATCCTGAAGTTTGCCCAAGTTCATGTCCGTTGCATTGGTGATGCCATCCAACCATCTCATCCTCTTTGTTACTCAAGTAAAAAGGGAAAAGAGACTTGCCTTTGGCTGAACATCCTGGCCTTGGGCAAGAACTTCTGGATCTCCCATTTCTCTGGGACTTAGAACACTGACCTGCAGCCCTGCTGGACCAGGCCTGATAGAAATGCCCAGGGCTGCTCTGCTGTCAGAGGTGTGACCAGACGCCCTTTCCAACCAAGTCGTTGGAACCAACACACTGGTGTCCTAGGGCTGTGCCAAGGGTTGCAGGATGGAATGGCAAGAATGGTGCTATGTACACACAAAGGGACGGTTGACAGAAAATGGATGATTCAAACCTCCCTTACTTGTTTCTCATGCTCCACCAGCTTGGGCTCTACAGAAGAATCTGGCTTCCCAGTAAATTGGTAAAAGTGGAGACTTCTGTTAAAGATCATTAACCATCCAGATGACACAGCACAGTTGCCATGGGTGCAGCCCTCCCAGCTTGCGGGCTGGTGACTTTGTGTGTGCTGTACATGAATTGGCTTCCCCGATGTCTCAGGGGGTAAAGAATCTGCCTGCAAAGCAGGAAACAGAGGAGATGTGGGTTTGATCCCTGGGTTGGGAAGATCCCCTGGAGAAGGAAATGGCAACCCACTTCAGTATTCTTGCCTGGAAAATCCCATGGACAGAGGAGTCTGGCAGGCTACATACAGTCCATGGGTCACAATGGGTCAGACATGACTGAGCAAATAACACACATACATGAATTACCTTCATCATAACAGGAGCCTTAGGAAGTGGGTCCTCCCATCACCTCATTTCACAAAGCAGCAAACCCAAGGTCCCAGGGCTGGAAAGGAGCACAGTTGGGGCTCAAACTGACTGGGCATGAAACTGCCACCAGAGGGGCCCTTGTAGTCATGGGACTCACTCTGCACCAGCCCCAGTGGTCACTGGTTTCCTACTGTTTTAATGCTGCTAAATTTGGTATGTGGAGTTCTTGTTTTGTTCCATTTTTATCAGGTTTCAGTATTCAGGTTACCCTGGCTTGGTTAAGTAAACTGGGAACAGATTTCAATTATTTCCTATTCTGAGCCAGTTTGAATGAGGTGGGATTTATCATTTTCTTGCAGGAGAGAGATCCCATCGATGCCAACAGGGCTGAGCGTGGCTGTCGTTAACAACACTGTACTGTATACTTGAAAGTTGTTAAGAGGGTAAGATCTCCAGTGTTATCAAAAGGCAATTAAATGACTTGATGGATGTGTTAATACTTTTCTATGGTCATCATTTTGCAATATCTACACATATCAAATCATCACCTTGTATGCTTTAAGTCTACATAAGTCATGTGACAATAATATTTCAGTAAAGCTGGGGAAGCAAAGACTGATGCTGCGAGCCATGAATATGGATGCATGCTGCCCAGACCCCTTCAAGGGAGGCCATGCTGCCCAGCTGCAGGGATGGTCAACAGCCTGCGCCGTGTCGTTCCCTCCATTGTGCCTGCCAGACCTCACACCTCCCCAGGACGTGGGGAGGCTTCTGGTGACCCCTCCAGGCAGAGCAGAGAGGTTGTCTCACTCACCTCTCAGAGCTCTGAGTAGAGTTGACTGAGCTGTGGGCCCGCTCTGTTGCCCACCTGCCCCACTGCTCCCATTCCCCCAGGTTCTGAGCCCAGGTGCTTCCTAATGGACCCCGTGGTGTAAACCCCCTGAGTCGGCATCTGGTAACCAGCTGTGCTGCAGGGCGTCCAGCAGGTCCCACCCTTGGGCCTCACAGACCACCCAAGTGTCTCCCCTGTGCCTTTGAATCGACAGTTGTTGCGTCGTCCCTGCTTGGGCAACAAAACAGAAGGACACAGGATCCTTCACAGAGGAGGGGCACCCCCCCACCAGGTGGAGTTGGTGCTCTCAGGGTGCCGTGTGTGTGGTCTGTATGTTGTTATGAGGGAGGAGCCAGGAGGCAAGAGCTTAGTCTACATTCCTTCCAGTGAATATTCAGGGTTGATTTCCTTTAGAATTGACTGATTTGATATCCTTGCAGTCCAAGGGACTCTCAGGAGGCTTCAGCACCACAGTTCGAAAGCCGGATCAGATGGTAGTACTGTTTTTCAATATTTTGAGGAATCTCCATTGTTTTCCCCAATGGCTACATCAATTTATATTCCCACCAAGTATGAACAAAGGGTTCCTTTTCTCCACACCCTTGCCAGCATTTATCTTCTGTCTTTTTGATGACAGTCATCCTAACAGGTGTGAAGGGATAGCTCACTGCAGGTTTGATTTTCAGCAAACTCTTCTTCGTGCCATCTCTGTGCTGAGGCTCCCTAGACGCCATTTGTGGTTCCAGCCATAGAGGCAAACTTACCCGGGTGAGACACAAGAGACAGCAGCATGTATTCACAGAAGTTTGGTTACAGATTTTTTTAACTCCAAGGTGTATAAAACATTTTCGTGTATCAACTCACCTGATCCTCCCAGCAGCCCCGGGAAACAGTTTGTGTGTCACTCTCTCTGCAGATGCGGACTTGGAGGCTCCGAGAAGCTGAGTGGATTTTCTGACACTGCTGGGCTGAGAAGTGATGCCACCAGCTGTTAAGTCCAGATCTTCTTGCTCCACAGTCCAGGTTTATAAATAGATACAAGCCCTGTACACTAGGTCTGAGCACTAGACAGTGGAGTCCTAAACAAGCACCAAATCTCCTATGAACATTTGTTGAGAGCCTACAATGCCTGCAACTGGTCCACAGGTCTAGAATTTCAGCAAATCCTCCAGCAACATATAGAGTCAAAACCTTTAGCACAGGCTTCCATACAAGAAAACCGATGCTCAGAGGAGACTGTGACTTAGTTATTGATGAAAGCAGGACCCGAATTCAGGCTTTTTGCCACATCTATGCTTCATAGAGTCTGGTGTCTTCTCGTGACTCAGTCACATGCCATAGGTGGAAACTGGGGTGTGACAGAACTGCAGAGGCCATGGGAGAGGAGCAGGGAGAACACGAAGCCAAGGGGCAGAGGGGGGCACTGAGGGTGGGGGGCAGGGCCCAGCCATGGGGCCACGGGGGAACCCTTGGCTGGGGTGCTAAGGTCTGCAGGCTGTTACTTGAAGGGTGATCCCCAGCCCCAGGGCCAGCATGGGCCGGTCACAACATGCCCTGTGGTTGGCTGGAAGGTTTGGACATGGTTCTAAGAGCAGTGGGAAGGCCTGCAGGGTTTCAAGCAGAAGATGGAAGCAGCCGCAGTGAGGAAATAGGAGTCAGGAGGTGAGAGCGCTGCGAGTTGAGAGCGGTGCCTCATGGTGAGATGTTTAGATCCCTGAGTGGAATTTGTTTATCACCCAGGATCCTGTGATCTGGT